ATTTGACTGGAATTCAAATATCACTTATTTCCCAGTTGATTCCCCAGCTGTAGTTTGTTGGCTTCCATTCTTTCACATTCCTGGCTCCCTGACTTTGTTCACCTGTAAGACCTGTACCACCTTACCTCCCAAACAGCTGCATGCAGCTGAGGACCACCAGCTCTTTGGGAGGCCAAGTCCTCTGCACAATGCCCAGCTGCACAAGAAGAGGGTAAGAAACAAATCCCCAGCACAACACGTGTCATATACAAGGTGTTGTATAGCAGTTTGGGTTTCTCATTGGAAATAATACATTTCAAAGAAAACCAAAAGCCTTCTGCAGAAGATTTCCAGTCTTATTAATAATCACCCCACCTGAACTACAATGCAACTTTCTCCTTCAGTACAACTGTAAAGAGTTAAAGAAGTGGTCCATCACAGCATGCCACCAATGCCCACACGGCCCCAGACAAAGCTCCAAGACAGTTCCCATTACAGCCAACACGATACTGAGGGTTTCCAGTCCACTGGTGCTAAATGCATCATCATCCCTGCAGGCTACACATGAAGATGTGCCAAACTATTGCTGGCAGATAATTCAATGTTATGTTGGCTTCACATCTCTTCCCAGGATGGCATTTTCATTCATCTCATAGAAATGATAAAGAAAACTGTGAATTTTATTTTTCACCCTCATTACTTGTGGGCAGCAGGGTGAACATTTTTTTCCTCTAAATGCAGAGATTCAGACAGGGAAAATTACAGCTCACATCCTCTCTGCATTCCTTCAGGAAGAAGTCCTGACTGAAATCACCGAGGAACTGTGCCAGATGAACCCATGAATGAACCAAATGAATGACCCAACGTGTCTCCAATAAAATTAGGAAGCAGGGAGGAGGAGAGGAGTGAGCGTTAAAGAAAGTTTATCTAACAGTGAGCAGGTACTTACTCCTGTCTTTTAGCTCACTGGCACAGATGCATCAGCAAACACATGGGAGCAAGAGGGAGAGCAGCAGAAACCTCCTTGGTTGCAGGAGGGCAGGGAGGGAGTGCTGACTGCTGGGCTCAGCATCCTTCTGCTGTGAGATGGGCAGAGCTCAGGGCTCGCCTTCCCAGATCTACCAAGGAAAAATGGTACTGAGCGAGATTCATTTTTTGCTAAAGTAATGTGGGTGTTTGAGCATTCAGTTCTCACAATGATGCACAGGCAGGAGTTTGTACTGAAATACAATTTTAAATTTGCTGTAGCCCAACCCAGCACCAACTGAGCATTCACTGACTGAAGCTCATAAGCGTCCAAGGAGAAGTAAGCACATAAACGAGAGAGGAAACATCCATACAGGCACAGACACCTCTGCTTGTCCAGGCGGCTTCTCGAAACACCAACAGCTTGCTTCCACTGCTGTCAGCACACTAACTTGCTGCTCTGTCACCGGTCCAGGTTCTTCCCAGCACAGGAGCAATTGTTAAAGAGCACTCACAGTTATTCTGTCCCGCAGATATAACGAGTTCTTAGACCAATTGGCAGCATATGGTGCATTTCATCAAATGACAGCTTTTGTTTGTCACAAGAGGAGAACAAAATAGTACATTTATTAAACAAAACATAATTAGCCAACTCTTTCCCTCCCCAAAAAGAACTATGGAAGATGCTGTTTTTCAGAACTCGGACGAATGTTTCCCTGCTGTTATGACACTTCTGTATGGAGTGATCCATCAGGGCTCTGGCGGAACAAAGCAAATGACATCCCATTTGTTGTTCACATCTAAGAATCACGATGCTAAGGGCTAATCATCTCACCTCAAATACTGATGGGCAAAGTGCTAATGAGCTACTCTCATGCTAGGATAGCAGGAATTTTGTGTTTGTTTTTTGTTTTACTGTTTTTTTTTAAAGGAAGGCTCTCATTTGCACAAACCACAAAAAGAAGGGTCTCCATAACAATATTAAATATCTTAAAGATTAAATTTTTAGTAAAGGATCCATCACAAAGCCAAATATCTTTGAGGTGACGGTGACGTGACTTATAGAGCCTGGGATCTGTGATCAAAAGGATCGCACACATCACATCCCACTCATCACAGCAGGATGGGCCGGCCCATCAGCCAGGGCTCACAGAGGAGATCCCCAAACAAACACTTTCCCCCACTCCAGACATGGCCGGGAGCAGAGTGCTCCAAGCCAGGAACGGCCTTCTCCTCTTTCAAAGAGATAAGGGCTATGTCTGTGGGGTAAATAAATGCATCTGTTTGTTTATCCATTTTCAGACGTTACCACCCTCTCCTGCGTTGTTATCCCTTTTATATTACCCTTGTATGTGTAATCGAGTGTCCTCTCCTCTGGATTGACCCTCTGCTTCTTCCTGTATTATATATGTCTTTGATCTTCCCCTCCTGCATCTGTGTGTCCTGCCTTGGAGTCTCAGCAGGATTTCCCCTCGACCCCTTGCACTACTAGAAAATAAATGCCAAAGTGGTGTTTGCAAGCATTAGTGCAGAAAAAAACAGACAGCAAAGAAGCCCACGCCCACCTCCCCTGCAGTGGTAGGGTATGCACAAATGGGGGAAAGGCACGGCACGGATGAGCCCGAAGGACCAACAAACAGCATGAAGAAGAATTATCCTAAAAGTTCAGAAACGGGTGTTAAATTTTCCCCCTTCACCCTGCACTTGGGCACTTTCAAAAAGCAGAACTCTATCTCCAACCTTGTTAGACTAACTCAAATTCCAAATACCCTTCTCTTGCCCTGCTATTTGGGATGGCCCAAGTCACGGCCAACTGCAATACACTCAGCCAACAAAGAGGCTGCTGCTAATGTTTGTTCTCTGCAGTACCAGAGTGCCAAAGGAACGGCTGGTTATCACTACACAGATGTGAAAAGATGCCGTCAGTTCACATGGAGACCTTAACAATGGCATCAAGACTGCTGGAAGGCTGACCAGCTCCTTCCTCTGCAGCTGGAACCGGTGAGTAAGCTTCCCCGGCCAGCCCCAGTCCCCTGGCTCTTGGAACAAAGCACAATAGCAAGGTTGCAGAAAGTGAGATAACCCTTTCCACTCAGGCGCTGGAAAACAACATCTGTTAAAAAATAAATAAACGGGTGTAATGGCTTTTGCAAGAGACCCAAAGGATTTCATGGATGCAGCTCTCGGTTGGGTCAACACATTGTGAAAAGCAAATTACAGGAGAACAATTGTTTCAGAGCAAGCTCTTCCACCCCTGAACTCCCTCAAGGTTAATTAGGATGGCCTCCAGCCAAATTAATTAGAAGATTTGGGCAGGACTTTGCTGCACTCATAACTAGTTCCAAGGTGTCCGAGAAGTTCAGAAACGCATCATTTTCCAAACAAAGTCTGCTTGGCAGAACCCAAGTCCACGTGCACCGTGTCATTTCTCTGGCAACCAGGAGGAACACTTAAAAGTAATCTTTCCTTAACCAGACGGCTAAGACAGAAGAATTTTCTGCATCCTTTTCACTGAACAATATGCCCTTGTTTATTTCTGTGTGCTTTTTAGGTCATAGGACGCCAGCAAAACGATTCATCCAAAGAACAATATAGCACTGTAATCTGCCACTTGACACACACGGCCGGGCAGGCTCTGACAGATCAGTGTTGGCCAAGAGTTGAGGAGTACATGTCACAGGAGCGAGAAGAGATCTTGAACATCACCACAGAATGGGAGGATGCAGGAGCAGGGCCCACCTTTTGAAATAACAGACTTGTGGCATCTGGAAATACGCTGTGCCCAGCAATGAGAGTGAGCATCCTGCAGTGGGGAATGGATCTGCCCAATTCTACACCCCAGGCAGTGCTTGCCCCGGTCCCTCCTGACTCCTGCTGCCAGCCGTGCACAGCTGGCAGGACAGCAGGATTTCCTCCAAGTGTTATCTTGGTGTGTGGTACAACTGTAAGAACATAACAGGGTAGGGCAGGTCCGGCCTCTGTGATTAGGAATTGGAAGCACAAACTGAGGCTCTCGTGGTGGCTGCATCTCCAAACAGCACAGCCCTTCTCTGTCATCCATCTGATCATCCGCAGCTTGAAGGCTGCTATTTTCCACGTGTCTGTTACCCACAGACAGCAGCAGCTCTGCCGGGCAGAATCAGAACTTTTAAAGCAACAAAACGAAGAGGCTGCAGATCCCGCGGAGCAGCACAGCAGGATGCTGCCCGGCAGCACACCGCTCCCATTGTCACCGGCCGAGATGTGACGTCCCGGCTTTGCGGATCAGACCGACCGCTCGGCACGGTTACATCACATCTCCGCTGACAGACATGGGCTGCAGGATCTCGGCATGTAGGGGCCACGCCACAAAAAAGCTATTATTCTCATTTCTTCTCAAACACACACACACACACACACAAAACCAAAAACCAAACAAAAAAAAAAAAACAAAAAAAAAACCCACAACAAAACTTTAATAGATGCGAGTGCCCTTTGGCACAGATCCAGGGGCAGAGCGAGGTCGTAATCTGTAATTCTGGGCCAATTATGAAATGACATAACGGTACAGATCTCCTCCCTACACAACCGCTTTTTTTCACCCCCCTTTGCAACAGTCGGTGGTTTGAAACGGCGACGGGAAGGGAAACAAACCCCCGCGAGCTCCGGCTGCCGAGCAGGCATCACGAGGAGCGCAGACCCCAGGAGCAGGCGATGCCTCCGACCCCCACGCCGCATCCCGCCGCCTGACCCCCACGCCGGTGCCGAGCGGCAGCGCAGGGGACCCCGAGGCCACCCACGGCCCCGCTGAGCCGCGGGCGCCCACCGACCCCGGCAGTGGGGCGCTCCGCGGATCCGGGGCTCCCGCCGAGGCCGGGGGCACGGGACCTCCCTCCGCAGCCCCCCGTCCCGCGGGGAGAGACGGGCGCAGCGGGGGCAGGTGCAGGGCGGCGGGAGAGTCCAGAAGAGAACGACGGGAGGGGGACGCCCGGCGCCGGCGGGACGCTTCCCCCAACGCGCTTCCCAGCCCCGAGCCCGCCCGCCGCGCGCCCCCGCAGCCGCCCGCCGCCACTCACCGCTCCGCCGGCCGCCGCGGGACCCTCGGGGCGGCGGGGCCGCCGCGCTCAGCGGCCGCGGCAGCCGGGAGGCGCCCAGCCTGTGGCGCCCGCGACCCGCGCGGGGCGGAGCGGGGCGGGCCGGGGCGGGGCGGCCGCGGGCGGGTCCCGGGGCTCTCCCGGCCGCTGGCGCTGGGCCGCTGGGGCCGGGTCCGCGGGCTCGTCTCCCTTATTTTTTCGGCTAATATTTTGGCTTGTTTTCTTGTTCCCCCGCTGTGCCCGCCGCATCCCGCACGGCGCACGCCGCGGAGCTGCCACACGTTGCCCCCCCCCGTCCGGTTGCCTCGGGGCACGTCCGCGCTTCTGCCAAGTCCCGTTTGTCCAGGTCGGGAGGAGCGCTGCTGTGCCCGCTGCCGGCTCCAGGCGCCGGCCCCCGCTGCCTTCTTCTGGGCTCATCCCGGGATCCGCCGATCCGCGTTTTATCCGGCCCCGTAAACGCCACATCGCTGGGTTTGACATCCAGCTCCGGCAGGGACGCGGGCACGAGGCGCTGCCAGCTGAGCACCGCAGGGCCCGGCAGGCCGGGGCAGCTTCGGGCACCACCGCCCACCGCCGCAGGCTTCGGCCTGGGCCGCGAGCCGTCAGAGACACGGCCCGCGGCAGCGTGTCCTTCAGGAAGGTGACACCTTAGGGCCTGACCCAGGAGCTCTGCCAGGACCCTCCATGGGCACCACCGCCTCCTCCCTGCACCGAGGCCTGAGCACACAGCCCAGCTCGTTCCTGTAGAGGAATATAAGCTTTCCCCTCACAAGGAAAACCTGCACTGAGGAGGGAGAGGAACTGGAACATGTCCTCCACAGCCACTGACAGCATAGGTTGGTGTGGGCCCGGGGCTCGTCCTGCCAGGGTTCACACTGTGAAATCCACTTTTGAAACATCCCCTACCTCTCTGGATCCCATCATGGATTCAGCCTCAGGAAACAAGTGACTGATTTGGAAACCTATTTTAGCTTAATGACCCTCTTAGAAGGGTATATTTGTGAGTCATTTACCTCAGCAAATGCTTGGGCTTGCCAACTGCTCAATGTCTCCTAGTTGACTTCTACCCTAGGCCATCACAGTGCTTACATGTGTTCATAATTGGAGTCCTATTCAACATGTGCTCTGGTTCCTTGTAAAAAAGCAAGGGCGAGGAGCTTGGTGAGGGGTCCAAGGGCCCTGCAGTCTGGTGGTACAGCAGTAAATGCTAAAACTTTCCTCCAGTACTCTGTTAAATTTTGTTGCTGAGGGACAGATGGCAGTAGAAGAGCAGTCTGATAAAATGGTATCTGATATGGAAGTGCATAGGAAGCAAAGATGTGGAGTTGAAATTTCTCCATATGGAAAAAATTGTACCCATTGACATTCATTTCAGCTCTTGCTGAAAGTTTATGGAGACAAAAAATGGATGTCAGCACAGAAAGGCAGTGGATGGTGCATTTCAGCAGTGACATCAGGGACATGAAAGACAAGCCACATTCCGGATGGCCATGCACAGCTGTCACACCACAAAATGAAGAGTGTCTTTATCAACTTGTCTGTGTGAATTGGCAGATTACAACCAGGGAACTGTGTACAAAGCTGAATATCTGCTCCGGTGCATTGGAAATGATGGTGGCAGTACCAGAATATCACAGAGTTTGTGCCAGGTGGGTTCCACAAATGCTCACACAGGAACAGAAAGAACATTGTAAGTTTTTCAGGGCCTATTGAACCAATACAGCGCTGAAGGTGACAGTTTTCAGGACTGCATCATTACCAGTGACAAAATGTGGTATCACAACTACAAGTCAGAGTCAAAATGGCAGTCCATACAGTGGGCACAGGAGAATTCCCCATCAAAGAAAAAGTTCAAGACACAGCACTCAGCAGGTAAGTGATGTACACTGCCTTTTGGGATAGGAAAGGGATGATCCTTCTGGATTTCCTGAAACCCAGACAAACCATCAATTCTGACCGCTACATTGCAACTCTGACTAAGCTGAAAGCTTGACCTTGCAGTCAGGCAGGAGAAGAAGACAACCTTTCTCTTGCAATACTAGAAGGCCAGCTCCATACCAGTTTGAAGACTATGGAGAACATAGCTGATCTTGGCTGGACCGTCCTACCACACCCACCATATAGTCCAAATTTGGCACCTTCTGATTTCCATCTGTTCAGGCTGATGAAAACTGTACTACATGGGCAATGTTTTCTTGAGCAATGACACTGTCATAGCAGCTGTAAAACAGTGGTCACCTCAACTGGTGCAGATATTTACCAGGATGACATGCAGGCTCTTGTTCATTGCTGGTGGGAATGCATAGCAATGGTGCAGTCTGCATTGAAAAATAGTGTTTCATAGCCGAGAATTTGCTCTATATATAGTGTTACTGTGCTCCTTGTATCTTTTGAAGTTTCCATGGAAATAAATAGGAGGCATTACTTTTGGTGTGGCATACATAAATGTGGCTGCATTAGAGGCGTACAAACAGGGTCTGCAGAATAAAAACCTGTGCTTGCTGGGAGCACCAAGGCTCAGCCCCTCAGAAGTCACAAACAACACCTGCAAGTCAGAGCTAGTGGTTGTTATAGAGGGAAATCATGGAAAACAGGAACTCACAAATATGGGAGAGACAGGTCAGATGTGGGAAATGCAGATGAACTAATGCTTAGGGCGGGGGAGGGAAAAACATACGTGTGCTGCCCACCAGCCAGCTCTTCAGCTCCAGCACTGATGCTGGCCACTGCTGTGTGCTGAGTGAACGGGAAGTCCTCCTCTGTTCAGTGCAGGTGTGATTTTTTTTTGTGTGATTTTAACTGCATAGGAATAGTTATTCCCTGAAATACTGTACAGCTTTGTCTTAGATCCAGTTGCTGGGGATGTATTTAGGAACATACGCTGAAATCATCACATACCTGAAGTTTACCATAATTAACTAGCCACAGATGTGCTATTGAAACTCTTCTTATTCCTCTTGCCTGTCCTATATGGCATGTTACAGCCACAATGTGTTTAACTTTCTTAGAACAGACGATATTCATAAACAAAGCAGCTATTACACGAGAAGCAAGAAAACATGTCACAATACCCCTCCTGCCAATAGTCACCTTCTCATAGAATTGGCACCTCTCTTGGTTTTGGAACAGGGGCTTCAGATATTTTATAGCTTCATCAAGGGAAACATTGAATGTTACCATGGAAAGGAGATGTTTGAATTTTTTTCCCCCCCTGCTCCTTTACCTGTATTTTGATCTGATATTTGGGAATTCTGTTCCTTAACTACTTCCCCACTTCCTACACATCCCAAAGGAGTGGATGGAATAAGCATGAGTTTGTATGGAATAGAGGGAAATAGATCACAATACTGGGTGATGACCTCTCTGCAAGGATTATTTAATACACAATTGTTGATGTCTGCAGGAGGTGTTGAACCAGACGCTGAAGTAATTCGTTGCCAAACAAATAGAGCCTGGGGACAGCACTGAGGTCTCACTGAAGAGGGATCACAGCACTCTGGATCCCACTGATCCAGAGGGATGGTGAAGGAAGAGAAGGGTCTTTGCCTCAGTCAGTCTTTGGTGTCTGCTGCAGCTATGGAACTCAGGTAATTGCTGGCCTTTGACACTCAGTTCTTCAGAGATATGTATGAGGTAGTCACGGGTGCACTGCTATGGATGCTGCCAGAGAACAGTGGTTCTTGGCACTACCAGAGCATATTTTCCTGTAGATGTATGGATCCACTGACCATAGAAATAACTCAAATCTTGAAGTGTGAATCTTCAACATGTGATGAATGGAGGAAAAATGGATAAAAAGCTAAAACAGTAATTAATGTGGAGGTATTGTACACACATACTGTGTAAGAAAACGCCTGAACATTGTGAAGGCTGACAAAGAGGTTAAGAGGTGTGGCACACAAATTACCCTTCGAGTTTCAGCTGTTTTACATTTTGCAAAACTAGGTAATGTTTCTAAAACGTTTGAAGTGCTAAGTATTGTTAAAATAATCCTTGCAACTCTTTCATTCAAGGACTTGGCTGGGGGTGCTTAGCAAATATTAATGAATTTCTCATCATAACACCCAGGAGAGGTGGGAAGCTCCAGCAGCAATTACCCACGTCACACAGATGAGAAACAGAACAGCTAGGCCTAATTTTTCAGAAAAGTTTCCTGACCAAAATATTTGTACAGTCATTCAGCTGGAAAGCTCTCGGGAAGGGTTGGGAGCTCCAGCAAACCTCCCAGAAAGGTGCTGGATGTGGGGCTGGACAAGTCACCCCTAAAGCAAGGGAAGGTAGAAGGGAAATTGTGAAGTAGTGAAGTATATTGGTGCTGGATCTGTCCTGTACTTTCTAGTTTAAAATGTGCATGCTTACTATCCTATTGAAGGCTGATGGTTGCTTTAGCTCAATGGAAAGAAGATGGATTTGATGCATTAAGTATGAGAGTACACAAATGTTCTCATAGAGATATTACAGCAGCTTGGCTGATGTCCACAGGTATGAAGGCCAAGGACTGTGATGGCCACATCGTCATTTCTGCCAGTGACCTGACAGTTTACTCATTAGAGAGCAAAGTCTCTCAGACACTGTCAGATGAGGTCCTGGCTGAGAATGGGCATTTGAGATGTATGCAGCTGGGAAGCAGTGTTTTTTTGAGCATAGGTGAGGCTTTATTTCTGCAGTCAATAAGCAGTGGTTAGCAAGGGCTTTTATCCCACTGACATCACTGTGGAATAGTCTGATGAAAGCATGCTTCAAAGAAGATAAAAGAAGAGTGGACTCTGGTTGGAGCTCATGTATTATCACAAGATCTTGATGGTCTCTGTTAAATGCCCACTTCACTATTATGTGAGGTGCTGGCAGCTCACAGCCAACACTCATCAGCCCGTGAGGTCCTGCCTGATTTCCAGTGTGATCCCAGATTTACAGTGGGGAGGTCAGACAGTGACCTGTTGACATTACTGTGAAGGCTGAGCAGAAATTCAGGTTGGCCACAGGTATCAGCTGAGGATTCTTTGCTTTTCATGAAGCTAGTTACAAAGCTACTGTGAAAA